CTGAAATTAGGTTCCACTCCTAGCAACACATTTCATTTAATTTTCACTTAAATTTGAGCCCCTCATTGCTACTTAAAATACCTTCACAAACATTTCACTAAGACATTAAAAAGTAACAATGCATACAGACGACTGCTTATCTTGTGCCAGGCAATACAATGAAAGGCATTCAGAAGATGTTAATATTTCAAAGCTAAAAGAGGTTGGTGTATTTTGGTGAACATCAATCAGCCTAGCACCAAACATCCAGCTGAATTTCAAGAGAGGGGGTGGAAATGAAACAAATCTTTAACCAAACAGGAAACGTAGCATAAGCCTCAGTATTTGGCAATATGTTTCAAAATGATAAAATCAATCCTGAAGGTGCCAAAGTCAGTCATGAACACAAGTAGGAAAAATGGCCAGTCTCGCCAATACTAAGCATAGTTGCCAATGGTCAAAACTGATTTACAAGGATTTTTAGATTTAAAGTGAAAGAGTTGGACTCAAATTTTGAACGTGACGCTGAAGGAGAAAGTGGTGTATAGTTTATATGCTGCAGTTTATGCTATCAACAACCATTTTTAAATGTGTAAAGTTACTACTTTAAAAAGTAGTTAAACTTTCATTTTTTCCCTCAAAAAGATGTTTTAAAATTCCTGATGCTTTTACAGCTGTGACATCTTAAGATCTTGGAAATATGTCATATTTCAGTCCTAAGAACATCTAAAAAATTATACCTCCCTGTGGGGGAATGTGTGAACAATTTTCTTCTAACTACACCAGCAGTCCAATGATGTAATTACTTTGCATAATAGAAAAAGTACCGCATCCTTCTGAAAACATGCCTAGGGATTTACACACACATCAGATCTGTGCAGTTTCCATCTCATTTTAAATGCACCAAGAAAACTTGCTCTTAAAGGGACTCTATTACAGTTTCTTCTATAATGAGAATAATTACCCTCTCATTTACTGGTATTTTAAATGCAGACTTAGGAATTTTCTATTGTCTCAACGCAAGGCAAAAGTCAGAGTTGTGTAGGTTTAAGCACTACGAATTCATTCAACAAAAGTTTACAGTGGGCCTCCTAGGTTCCAGGCATGATTGTAGGTCCTGGGGAAGTGCACGGAATCAAACAAATGAAGACCTTGTTGACATGGCGGTTACACTGTTGACGCCCAGCCAATCAAAAACAAATTAATATTTAAGTGGCAAGAATAAAAAGAAAAGCAGAGTACGGGTGATGGAGAGGGGGAGAGTGTGTGTGTGTGTGTGTGTGTGTGTGTGTGTGTGTGTGTGTGTGTGATATAATGTGTGTGACAGTGGGGTCAAGGACCACCCTTTGACAGACCTG